AAATAAAATATTTAATAGTTAGAGATTTTTCTATAGCAACTAATTTTTTATTTTTTCCTATATCTTCCTTTTCCTTGTGGCTCACAAAACTATTTATCACTATACTTATATTTGTTTTTTTAAAAGAAAAAATATGGTTTATTAACTGAGTATATCATATATTCATAATGAAATTTTCATATTCATCTTACAGGAAAAATTATTTTATAAAATTATGTTCAGCTCAGGTTTGTTGCTTGGAAATTTGATACAAGCTTGCACCTCTCCCCACCGTATCCAGATATCTGTTCCAGAGAAGGGCCTCGCCAGATGGCAGGCCGCCTGGGACTGGAAGGCTTAACGGCTGGGACCAGTGGCTCATTCCCTCCCCACACTCACCTTTGAATTCTCAGGACTTAGGTGTTTTGCATAGCCTTGCCATATCTTCTTTGTTACCGAGCTGAAGGTCAGTGGCTCAGTTTCAGGGACGCCTGTTCTCTAGAAACAAGGAAGACTCTGTGACAACAGTGCAAGGTGCTTGTGAACAACGGGAAGGCAGAACACAAGAGAGATCGCCAATTGCCTACTCCTGCATGCCTTGGAATGCTTGGAGATACCTTGAATAATTTAGAAAGGAACAATCTTGAATAATTTAGGAAGGAACATATAACCAGATGACTAGAAACCATCACAGAGGCACAAGAAATATGAGCAACCATCAAAATGTCTCTCCCTCCAGGGAAAACATCAATTTCTTATCACCCATAGACAACACAATGGTACTTGTGGAAATGCCCAATAAACAATTCAGAATATTTATAGTAATCAAACTAAATGAGATGCAAGAGAAAAGAGACAACAACGAGCTCCAGGAGATGAGGAAGTACTTTCACGATTTGAAAGAAGAAATAGACACCATAAAGAAGAATCAAACAGAATTGTTAAAGATGAAGATTATGATACAGAAAATTAAAAACTCCTTTGAAAGTATTAAAAGTAGATTAGATCACACAGAAGATTGAATCTTGAATGTAGAAGACAAAACCTCCAATCTAGAAAAAATTATCCAAAAGACTGAGAAAACAATCAAGAAAAATGAAGATAAAATACAAGAAAAACTAGATACCATTAAGTGCCCAAATATCCGGGTAACTGGCATCCCAGAAGAGGAAGAAAATGATAAGGGAAATTATCATTTATTCCATGAAATCCTGAAAGAAAACTTTACAAACTTAGAAAGACATTAAAATATCCAGACACAAGAAATACATAGGATCCCAAATAGAATCAACCAAAGAAGATCCTCTCCCGGCAAATCATAGCCAGATTGACAAAAACTTCTGACAAAGACAAGATACTAAAGTTGGTAAGAGGGAAGCATGAGGTTACTTACAAAGGTCACCCCATTAGGCTAACATCGGACATCCAGTGGGAGGAAAAGGCAGGCAAGGAAAGAATGTGGAATACAGTCAAAGTGTTGAATGAAAAACAATTTCAACCAAGAATACTATGCCAGGCAAGATTATCTTTCATATGGGAAAAAATAGATTAGAATATTCTCAGATAAACAAAATCTGAAGGAATTTATGAATTCCAGACCAGCTCTTCAAGAGGTTGTGAAGGGAGGACTATACCAGGAAAACTAAGAAGTCAGACAAACAGTTATAAGAGAACAAAAAGCAACCAAGAAATTAGCTCACTTAATGATAGAAAGAGGTCCAGAAATATCAATAAAAGCATTGAATGTCAATGGATTAAATTCTCCAATTAAGAGACACAGACTGGCTGGGGACCAGCAGTTAGCATAATGGGTATGTCACTGGAATCCCATGTAGTCGACCGTGGTTTGCGTCCCGGACCCAGTGGCTTAAAACTCACGCCGGGTGCGTGTGCTTGCATGCCCAAGATCCTGAGAGGAGAACAGAGGAGAAGGGATTGTGGCATGGTCATCCCCCCTGGGGGGG